TTTCTCCAATTTTGCAGAATTAGCTGTTAAGAAGTTTAGAATATATCTAAAAAAATTAGGATTTTAAAAGCATAATCTAGAAATGAGTAAAGAAATGATAGAAATGGTGTCAGTGTTTTGGCAAGCTTTCTTTTCCTAATTTTTTTTAATTTGAATTTTTTTTTGTCATTGACGATTTGCTAAGTGAAGAAATAATGCTACAAAAATGACAAAAATAAAAAACTATACAAATTTGTAATGGTAACCGAAGAAATTGTAAAAATAAAAATAGAGAAGAATTTGAAGAATATCTTCTAGTTTGGGTCATTGTAGAAACAGAATATGAAAATCGATTAAATTAAATCCAAAAATTATACAAAAGAATAGAAAATAGTATAAAAGTTTTGAAGAAAATGAACGAGTTTCTTCTAAAATGTTGATTAAAGAAGAAAAACGGTAGAAGTAGTAGAAAATCTGAACTAATGTACTCGAAAAAGTAAATATCTGTAAATCTTTTTAAAATCTACCAAAGAAAAAAAGTGTAGATAGAATTTTAATAAAGTTCCTTCTTCTAAGATTCCCACTTTACTTATTTAAAATAGAAGATATTCTTCTATTTTTCGTAAAATTCTGTTATTTTTTTGAAATTACTATATCATTAGTACCACTTACCAGAAATAATTGTAAGAACAAAATACTAGAAAAACGTCTTTCTCAATTTGAGATTAGAAAAGAAATTAGTTAAATAATAATAAAATTTAGAACAAAATTTTTTTTAGAAATCTGAGAAATAAAGTGACTCAAAAGCTGCTAATTTCTCATATTTTGTACTCATAGAWTCTATTTTCTTCTCAGATTTCTATTTCTATGCACTATTAATTTTAGAATTCTAGAGGATTTAGCAACGTTTTTCTTCTATTTTGTAGAATTAACTGTCAAATCATAGATAAAGAAGTTTAAAATATATCTACAAAAATTTGAGGCGGTAATAATTCTAGAATTTTAAAAGCAGAATCTAGAAATGGGTAAAGAATAATAGAAATGGTGTTAGCACTTTGGCAAGCTTTTTTTTTCTAGTTTTTTTTAATTTTTCGTCATTGACTATTTGCTAAGTGAAGAAATAATACTACACAAGTGACAAGAATAAAAAACTATTCAAATTTAAAATGCTAGTAGAAGAAATTAAAGAATTTTTGCAAAAAAAATAGAGAAAAAAGTATATGTTCTACAAATTTTGGGGTCATTGTTGAWACAGAATATCAAAGAAAATACTAAAGAAGAAAATAATATCACAAATTTGAGGAAAAGTCTGTTAGTGGAGCAGAAAAAGTATAAAAAAATTATGTATTAATAAAATATGTTTCAAAATAGAGTTTGTGAAAAATTAAAAAATATTTCCCAAAACTGTAAACGAAGATTGTTCTTTTCATATTCTAATTTTAATTTCTGCTTCTATATTGCCTTTCTCAAAAGTCATCATTTTTCATTTTTGTTCTTACTCTTTCTCAATATTCTTCAACGTTCTTTTTATATTTTTTTCCTTGATTAATTAAAACTAGAAATCTACAAAAACGTATAATTTTATAAAAAAGTTTCTTCTTTTAAGGTTCCCACTTTACTTATTTAAAATAGAAGAAATTCATCTATTTTTCGCAAAATTATGTTATTTCTTTTAAAATCACTATATTATTAGTACCACTTATCAGAAATAATTGTAAGGTCAATATACTAGAAAAACCTCGTTCCCAATTTGAGGTTAGAGAAAAAAAAGATTAGTTAAATAATAATAAAACTTAGAACAAAAAAATTTTTAGAGATCTGGGAAATAAAGTGACTCTAAAGCTGCTAATTTCTTATATTTTTTACTCACGGATTCTATTTTCTTCTCAAATTTCTATTTTCATGCACTTTTGTTTTTAGAATCCTAGAGGGTTCAGCAACGGTTTTCTTCTATTTTGTAGAATTAACTGTTAAATGCTAACCGAAAAACTAAGAATTTTTGCAAAAATTCTACAAGTTTTGGAGTTTTTGTTCAAACAGAATATCAAAATCGATTAAATTACATCGAAAAAATTGAAAATAGTAAAAAAATTGAAGAACTAAATCTAAAATGTTGATTATTAAAGAAAAACAGTAGAAATAATAGAAAATGTGAACTAAATGTACTTGAAAAAGTAAATAGATAATTTTAGAATTTTGAGAGAAAATATCTTAGTGGAGTAAAATTTCAACAACTGTTTAGTTATTTAATTGTAACAAGTTGGCAAAACAAAAAAATATAGCAAAAACACTAAAAAAAAGAAGAAAAACCGTATGAATTTCAAAAATATTTCCCTCAATTTTCCTCATCTTCAGATCTTGTTTACAGTTATCGGAGATAATCTTCACCTAAAACTCATCATCTTTCGGTTGTTGAAGAGTTGTAGAATCCAATCTCGCGATAGAAATAAGAAATCAAGTTCTCGTCTTCTATCTTTAATGGTTTTGATTTGATATAATCCAGCTTCTCATTAATTAGCTCCCTAGTAAGAATTTATCGTCTAGTTTATAAATGTGGACAGAATTACGATTCCTTACCATATTAGCGACTAGTTCTGCCACAGTTTTTCTCTCTCATCGCTAAAGATATGATTTAAGCGAGAAAAAAAGGGGCAATGCGGGACATTTCCCTCCTTGCTCTTTAAAATAAGTTGCAAAATGATGGCAACTAATTTCCGCTGTGCTCGAGGGCAAACGTCTGCTCGCCACAATTGAACCGTCATTAATCATCAACGTTGATCCATTTATTTTCGAAATTTTGCGAATATTGGCCCGCGGGTGGCCACTTTTTGCCTAGTTTTAGCCTTGAGAATCTCCGGGTCCACCTGGACCAATTATGAGCAGTTATGTAACAAACGCCACGTCATTTTTCAGCTCACTCGAGTCGAATTTTTCGAATGCATTGGGGCGACCTTCGCTAATCACGAGGAGTGCAACACAAGTCGTAAAAATAGATTTTATTATTTTATTTCACAGTTAAGAATAGCAGCAATTGCCCTCAACTTAACCTTACTGCATCCGTAAATACGGTTATCTAAACATTTATTGTTATTGCACAAAAATTCAATTTAAACAAATTACGATGAGGGAAATTATGAAAGCGATGAAGGTATTTGACAGACACCTACGACATGGAGAAATATTTCAACGGGTTTATTTTTGGACGTGAAATGCAGCGAAAAAATGCAACCAATGACGTGGTGCAGGAAATTTTTTATGAAATTTACTTTTTATAGATTTTTAGTTTTATTTTTACATTTAATAAAACATAAAAATCAAGGAAAAAAATAGAAAAACAAACAGTAGAAGCAAAAATGAAAAAATTATGACTTTTGAGAAAGGCAGAAGCAGAAATTAAAATAAGAATAAAAAAAAACAATCTTC